AAAAAAAAAAAAAAAAAAAAAAAAAAAAAAAAAAAAAAAAAAAAAAAAATTTTCTCTATATGTTTTGAATACAAACATATCTCTGACCTAGTCAATTTAAAAAACACATAAACCATACTTACTTCAAGACCTGTAAAATCAGTAATGTTGCTTTTATTCAATGACATGTTCTCCTGAACAACTTTCTGTTGTTTCACATCGAGCATTGCAAGGAATTCCAAGCACTGCTGATTCAGGACTATGAAATAAATCAAAGAAAGAGATAACAAAAATTTGCTGTTCTGATTTCTCAACTTCTGAGTTTAACTGCACCCAGAGGAAGCCATTCTGTAGTTCAAGCATTTGGGAACATGATGAGACAAGGTAGAAAATTATATTCCTGTTGTTTTTCCTTCTGTGTTTTCCCAGAAATAATGATCCATTTAGGCACCTTTTCACATATTACTGTGCCTCAGGTCTGAGTTCTCATCTCTATGTACACTCACAAGTCAGCCAGCTGCTCTTTTAGAACATTGGGGAAATAATGATATAAATCAATTATTTTAAAGCTTTTTTGGACACAAAAATAAGGGGAAGGGACTTGAGCCCTCTGATTCTCCAGTTTAAAAATGGATTCTGCATATCCACTGATATCAGCTGCCAGTAAAAACGCAGTTATCCCCACAAGAAGCTGCCTTCATAGCTAAATCATTAATTGCTCCTGAGAAACAGTACACCAAGAGCAACAGCTGTTGGTGGACTACTTGCGTTTTCAGCTTTAGGTGTTTTAACTTCTTCTGTCCTCAGTTTCAATTCTTCCTTAAAAGCTGCATTTTCACAGTATATTCTGCAGAAGTTAAAAAAAGACTTTATTATCTTGTAAAAAAAAAGTTTTAAAATGGGCACTCAGATAGTTAAAAACTTCCATCCTATTAAACATAATTTCTAATATTTCTGCAAAATAAAATTACAATTACTGAAAAGATGGAAGAAAAAAAAATCAAAAGCAAAAGGAGCTGAGTATTTGCTTTGAAAAGTTTTAATCTATAGAGAATTGTTCCAGCAGTTTTCTCACTTGTAATATTTTTTATGGATAAAATGATAATAGTTTCCCATAAGAATATTTGTACCAGCAATCTGTAATATGTTGTTAGAAGTAAATATGGTAGACAGAGGCCAGAAAGCACCCTGGCAGTCCTCCAGAGCCAGGCTAATACAGCAGGTTGTTACACCAGTGTGTGTAACGTGCTCATCCCATGTTATCCAGGTGCACATGAGAGAGCAAAACCAGGAATCTGCACACTCACACTTAGGTTTCTCAGGTACCACAGGCTGTTCAAACATGAAACTACACCCTCACACAGCCAATTTAATCCAAGTGTGTTCAAGGGAACACGAAAAAAAATCATTCATGTGTAAACCAACAGTGGCAACAGCTTCAGAGTTTAACAAGAGGTGAGTTTAGGTGCCCTATTCCCATTGGAAACTCAAAGAAATTGATAATTATGAACCTCTGAAACACTTGCTAGAAATATCCTACTTCCTTGAAAGAACCAAACAGATATTGGACATGTGACAGCTCAGCTCTGGTGTGTAAACTTCCTGCAGTCTGAACCCTGTTTTCAAGAACAGTTGTGCCTTCAGGATTGACAACCTGAGCAGACACAATATACACTGATAATTTGTTTTTCCGTGAAGTATTTTAGCATTTCCCTCTTGAACAGAGCAGTGGCAATCTGAAGACTTAAATGCCAAAGCAGTACAATTTATTATGCCATGTCTGTGGTGCTCCTATTAGCTCTGAAACCACACTGGCTTTCAGGTAGAGGGTCTTCTGCAATAGCAGGTATTAATCTGTTCAAAAGAATTCTTGTAAGGATTTTACCAGCAATGGAGAGCAAAGTAATACCTCAGTAATTTGAACAGTCTGATTTATCTCCTTTCTTCTTATACAGAGTAATGATGACTGCATCCCAAAGATCTAACGGTAATTCACCTAGTTCCCAACAACGCACCACAAACTCGTGAAATGTAGCATTGAGTGCTTGGCCTCCGTGCTTCCAGACTTCAGGTGGAATTCCATCAACACTTGTGGCCTTGCCAGTTTTCACCTGCTGTATGGAGGTTGCTGAGCTTTTTGGGCTGGAAGTCAGCTTGAAGAAAACAGATGTTTTCTACTAACTTGCACCTCAGGAAGTCTTTCATCATCCCCATATCATTGGCAAATCAGAGCTCAAGTCAATCCAGCAGTTTAATTATTTGGGAAGCATCATCTCCTTGGATGGTAAAATTGACAAAGAGATAGACAATAGGTTAACAAAGGTATATAGAGCTTTCAGAAAACTCCATAAAAGAGTTTAGTGTGATAAACACCTGAAGAAAAGTACAAAGATCAGAGTTAACAGAGCAATTGCTTTGTCTGCTCTTTTATATGGGTCTGAATCGTGGGTCATTTACCACCGCCACTTGCGACTCTTAGAACGCTTCCATTAGCGCTGCCTCCGTACAGTCCTGTGATGGTTTTGGTCTAAGCTTTCCTGGTAACCAGCTCATAACCAAGGAAGTGACCGTGTACCCAGTATTCCATACTATTTTCATGTAAACCAGGGTATAAATAAGTGAGAGATTAGAGACCTTGCTTGCTCTCTTCTGGAGAGGTCCAGGAGCAGTGGGTCCTTGTGTTGGTCTTACTTATCTAGAGCCTGTGGCCTGCAGCGACCACTGGTCTGCCACGTGGGAGATTGGAGAGTGCTGGCCACGTCTGGTGATCTTGTTTTTCTGAGGGACTTGGTGAGATTTGTTTTGCTAGTTCCTTATTTTGCTAGTTCCTGTGTTTGATAGTGTATATCTGTTCTGTGTTCCTTTTCCCCCTTTCTCTTTCCCTTCAGGGGGTGTTTAGATTCCCTTCACTGTGTACATAGAATTTTAATTGTATATAACTGTAATATATGTAAAAATATATATTTAATTTCAGGCTCTTCAATTTTTATACTTTTTTCCTGTTGCCCTAAGGGAAGAAGGGAGAGGGAAGGGGTTGTTACTGTGAGTTTGGGCGTTTGGCAGGGAGCCAGGTCCAAACCATCACAACTCCTAAACATCCACTGGACTGACTATATGACTGTTGTGTCTATTCTTGAGAGGCAGCAGTCACGAGCATTGAGGCCATGCTGCTGAGAACACAGCTGTGCTGGGCAGGGAACGTCTCCAGGACTACCACCTCCCCAAGACTGTGCTCTATGGGGAACTTGCCACTGGCTGCTGCATGAGAGGAGCCCCCAAGAGGAGATACAAGGACTACCTGAAACAATCCCTCAGCCTTGGACATATCGATCGCCACCACTGGTCTACTCTGGCCTCCAGTTGGGAGATATGGAAACACTCCATTTATAACGCTTTTGCTTCTTTTGAGAACACATGTAGAATTATTCTTGAGGAGAAAAGACAATGCAGAAAGAACTGTGTCTTGTCAGTACCGCCTAAGGAGTCTTCCCGTTGTGCCCTCTGCAACCAGACTTGTCTATCTGGCATTGGCCTTTTTAGCCATCAGCGCGCTTGCAGCAAGTGTGGGTAGAGTCCTTCTCAAATCTTTGTTCATGAAGCCCAGCCATGATGATGATGACAATTTATTTCATGCACCTCCTCCGCTGTCAATAAATGCAGCCTACTGTAAATGCATAGTTTTGCTCATAACTAAATAGTCTGGATTATTTTGTTTGAAAAAACAAAGGTAAATACACAATGTTCTCATCCTGCTCTCTCAGATATGAGAAAACCATTTTGTAAAGCAGGCTGAGCCCCTGGCTTTTGGTTTTCTGTCATTATGTCTCTATCTTTCAACAGTCAACACTGATTTTGTTGTTCCAAACTGCAGCTACACTTGAAAACTCCTCAGTCAGGAAAACCAAAGGCTTTCTCAGGAGATATACCTTCACAAGTGTAACTAAGTCAACCAAAGAAAAGTTTGTAAACTTTGGGCTTGTTCTTGGATTCAAAGTTGAAATATTTTAAATAAAAATCTATACTGAATAATAAGAACATCATCAATAATAAAGAAAATAATAATAACAACTCGGATGGTGAGACTTCAAGGATATAATTTCTACATTTTAAAGTGTGAGTCTGCTGGTCACACTTTCAAGGTTTGTTGTACATTATTAGTTTTGTGCCTCTGGCACATTCTTACCCAACCAGACCTGCTGTTCACCCAGAGTGACTCTTATTTAAACAAAGAACCAGTTGATCAGCCTCTCTCGAAATCCTTCCGTTTTACCTGTACTTATGCTCCAATCAACAGTGCCAGAAAATAAAGCAATGATTAACCAGGAAATTATATTTCCATGTGCACATGCCCCTCCTCCTTATTTTCTATGTTCATTTACATTTACGGTAAATAAGGATTATGTCTCTATCTGTCTGATGTAATGAGATGAAAATGAAAGCTCAGCCTAGCAAAGCCAGCCTATAGACACACTAAAGAATCAAGATAACAATTTTAGTAGTTTTAACTGAAAAGTATAAATGTGACTAGCATGAAAATGAAATGAATCTTCCAAAATTTGAAAGAGAATTAGGAAAGCACAAATCCCACAGAAAACCTCATGAAACAAGTTTGGAACACAAAAAAAGACAACACACAGAATTCAGTGCAATTAAAAATGAAAACAAATACTCAAAGAAACACAGTGCAAGTAAACTACCTGTCATATTTTTCTGTCCATGTGTCTTCAATATTTTTAAATCTATCCTGATCAAATTTAATTTCCCATTGCAAAATATTTATTTCCTGTGTAAAGAAACAAACCTGCAGCAGCACATTATGTTTTAAATTTTTGAGAAAATGAACCTTGATAAGTCCTTGAGCCTCTGCTGTTCGAGAAATGCAAGTAAAATTTAATATTTTAGGAAAATCTACCTTGATGTAAAAGTAAGGACCAACATTTTGACTTGAAAATGGCAGAATAATCAAGTAGTTTTATTAAACTAAGGTGCCTAAGGATGTAGGAAAAAAAAAATCTAATAAAAAGGAAAAATGCACAAAAGGTAATATTTTTTTTGAGATAAATAAAATACAGAATGAAGCAAGGCAATGCTGATAATTTAATTTATTGAGGGCCATGGTGTAGGTCACTCAAGGTTTAATTTTCACATGCTAATCATGGCTTCACTGACATTACATCTGTGTCTGAAATTATTATATCATAATGCCTGTTAAATTAATTTCTCATCCTTCTCTATTTAAAAGCTAATTCCCTATGTATAGAAACCATGTTTATATCACACACACACGTACACACAATTAATAGCACTTTTAAATCTGTATATAAGTATGTACATTTATAGTAAATACAATCAAGTACTACTCAAGACCTACAAATCCTAAATAACACAAGCTGGTTTACAACATTGATTAAACTATTAAAACTGTACACTAAAAATCGTGTTATCTAATAATGAGCCAACTAATGTACTCTAAAATACTAATATTGGCAGAGCAAATTACCTTCATCGGTAATACTTTAGTTAAGTGCTAACTTGAATAGCAATTTGCATAAAGCCACAGGCAGTACTGTGTCCTGGGTATGTATTAATAGCTATAGATCCTGTGCTACTTGCTGGATATAGGGAATAGCAGTCATGGCAACTCTGAAACTTCTAATTTATTACTAAATGTTTATATTGCAGCATCACGCTGAGACTCAAACTACAGAAAGACGCTGCCTTTCCACCTGTTTCTAGATTTTTATCTTTCAAGGGGACAGAAAGCTCTCATATGCTATGTGACTATAATGTCAGTATTGAACTGGTTTTAATTACTGTAAGAGTGAAGATATAAACAAATAAATTTAAATAATATGTATTTTTCAGTAAAGCAGTGTTACTCTACTGCAAGTATTGTAAGAAAATAAGAGACCAAAGCCTCAAAATCAGGTTTAGCTTATGCAAATATTCTATGTATTTATTACAGAAATAATTATAACCACTTAGTTGTGCCCAAATTAAGCCTGATACAGTAAAGCACAACTCTGAAAACTTCAGCTTTATAGCTCTGAATGTCTGCTTACATCTGTGGTGAATTTGTTCTGTTGCTCTTATATTAGCAAGTGACAACTATCAAATTACTGAGAACTTGTCATTTTACCAGTAGTTCTTCGTGGGATCACCCACGTGTCATAACACAGATACATTCACAAAACTAGTGCTTGTCATAATAACTCAAAATTGATGTGTTTGCTTGTTCTTTATAGCCATAACATATATTTAATTTTTCATCTGTCTTCTTTCCATGAACAAAGACACTAATAACCTCCTTATTTCCTCCTTCCCTTTATCTTTCCTGTACACTGGATTTTTTTTGTAAAACAAACACCACAGATACCTGTGGGATAATTCTTTCAGTAATGGAAGTGAATTTAATAAATTACTTTAAAAAAGAACATTTCAAACCTTTCCATCTGCAAACAAAATTCAAAACTGAGTTTTGTGGAGTTCCCTGTAACATTTAACAGATATCCTTCTCTGAGTTCACATTTCTCTGATGAGCACCTCCATATTCCTCTAGCAGAAAAAAAGATCTGTCCCCTCTAGAACTGGACAACACCTTGGGCTTTTGGAGGCCTGTTCTTTTCTCCCCATACAAAGAAGAAAAAAGTCACTTGAAAAGGTACAGAGAGCCTTTCCTGATGTGTTTCCTCTCATAATTTCTGTTGGCTTTAATGGCATAGGAACTTGAACAAAGGTAAAGAATGAAGCTGACAAGCAGCACAGGATCAGAATGACAGGATTCCTTATCTTGCAGTCCCCTGAGTGTACATTGTTGTCAGCAGCAAATCATTGCAAACACTGAAGTTAATGGTGGGTTGGATTCATATCCAGCCTTGGCACCTCAAGGCACTTCCTGCCCCTCTATTTTTCTACTGCTTAGTGAACTTCATGAGATACATTCTTCAATATGTGAGGGAATTAGTGAAACTGATGTCTCTGTTATACTTAAGCTCCTGAATTTTCTGTGTTCAGTCAGGTGACATTATGTTTGGATTTTTTATCTTTCTCTCATCCATTCTTTTCATTGCTGTCCATGTCCCAGTGGGAATCAGGTGGGCTGCCTTGTCCCTCTCCACAGCACAGGTAATGGTCTGCACTGTGATGCCAGGAGAGTGTTTTTGCCTACCCAGACCTCTGCTGCTGCACGCAGATAGCACATCTATGCCAATTGCCAACTTCATCTTTCTGTTGAAAGCTAGAAATGAGCATATGATGAGGGTTGGTGTCAGAGCAGGTATTTGTGGATGGTTCTGCATTTGATGTCATATGTGGTGTGTAGCTGTGAGGCAACTGAATTTGATCACTCAGGCAGAGTCCTTTTCAGTATTAAATTCTAGCTGGGAAAGTACTTTGCCTTGGGTTTCCCTTTACACCCAGGGCCCATAATTGGATACATCTGGTACATAATCTAATGTTTGTCTTTTTAGATCACTGTACAGCCACAGTGATGGAATTTGAATCACCTTCTGTATAAAAATCTGTTCAGTGGGAAGCAAGAATACACTTGCGAAATATTTGTGTAATTAACATAAAATCAGGGCACACACATTTGCTGATAATTTAACTTCCAGTAGAGGATATAATCTCTACCAAAAGGATATACCTGCAGCAAAATTCATTTGTGTTAAGCAAAATAGCCATAACTCATGCCCACTCACAAATTTTGTACTTACTCAGATAGGCCTTTGTGTACTGAACTTGCATTCCCTGGCACTAATGGTAACGTATAAAAGTGAATTAAATACATGCTATTAGTTGGAAATGAAGAGATTATTGGTGGGGAAAAAAAAAAAAAGATGGAACATCATAGGCCTTTTCAAGGCCCAAAGCTACTTGTTTTGGATTGTAGGCAAGAAAAAGCTAAATCAGTGAAAGAAAAAAAAATAACCTAAATATGAGAAAAGGGTTTATTTTACTTTAAATGTATCATTAAGCATTCAGAGACCTGAAAGCTGCCAAAAAAGCAATCAGTGGAGTTTTTCATTGCCACTGTAGTCTATGGCTCATTTGCAACTTTTGTCTCTAAGAAAAATGCAGGAGGTCAAGAAGTCTGTCACTTAACTCTGTTACAATCTGACATGTGAGTGCTGTTATACCTCATAGTGGTTCTAGTGTTCAGCTAGACTAGACCAAAAAAGTTCCTATGCAATGCTGTGACAGATGATAGAAGGTATCTCACAGCTAGTTTTACATGTGGGGCTTTCAGGAGTCAGTGCGTAAATGTTAACACAAGATCTGGCTGAATTGAAGTAGGATTGGAAACTTCACGTCTTTTGCCTTGAATGCTGAAACTTCCTGTTTAAAAGATCCACTGAATGATTTTTGTAGGTAACTAGAATTTGGCCCCAGGGAAACATTTTCTATGGAAGATTGTTTCTGCACGACAAAGAATGAGAAGAGTCAAATAGTACAGTATAACCTGATAAATTATGGTTAAATATTAAAGTTTTATAGTTTAGGAGCTGAAGAATGTATTACATGAAATTGTTATGTAAAAATCAGGAAAATAAAGTTCTCATGCAGGGTTGTAAAAAAAATATTTTATAAGGCAGCATTAGGATTGGAGAAATTATCATTATATTTCAGTGGTTCCTGTTCTAAATTGTTGCAATAATACTTTTCTTCTTTTCTGCTATTCTGTTCCTTTGTTCTCAACCCTTCCCTTTTCACTTTTTTCCCCTCAATATCTAATTTATTTAAATAATTTTTTTTGTTGTTTCTAAAAGCACTTATATGTTAAATTTCAAATTGAAGCATTCCCCAAAATGCCATAAAGAAACACTTGCATGAAACTGGTTTAATGAACAAATACATCATAAACATATATCTTTTTAGTCTCTCAAAACCTTGCTGTCTGATGCGTGACATCCCAGGATCTTAATAATCTTTAGGTGCCAGTCTTGAAATAGCTCTGTAAGTCCTGTTCACCTATAAACATCTTTTGCTTGCAGCCACCCACATATGTAAAGCAGGTTAAATGGATACAGAGAGACACCTCGTATCCCGTGTTAATCAGAGCAGAAGTATCGTTTTGGATATGAGACAGTGGATGTTAGACCTCACAGTTTTGGTCTATAGAGCAGTTGCCTGGGGTTCCTGCACCCCAGGGGTACCCAAGACAATCCACTGGGGTGCAGGAAGTATATTTCTACTAATAAATAATAAAATAAAATAAAATTTTAAAATATTGTTTATATTTATGTCATACTTTTTAAAAATTTCTATTTTGTATATATTTTATTGATATACCTAACATTATTATGGGATTCCATGTATGTAATTTATAAATAAGCATACTTATACTGGAGTGCATAATCAAGAATTTTTCACTTATATGGGTGCACAATGAAAAACAAGTTCAGAGACCTCTGCTCTAGCCATCTAGTTCACCTTGAGCACTATGAAGGAGTTACATCTATAATGAATAAAACACATGTATAATCCTCTACTTAGGCCTGTATTTGTGGCATGAATGAGCAATCCTATTAACCATGATAAAAGCAAGAATCTTCTTTATTCTACAAAAATAAACTAAATCAACTTCCAGCTGTGCCTGGTTTTGCAGGTCCTTTGCAGTTTTTCAGATCCTTTGCAGTTAAGACACAGTGGAAGTTGAGGGCACCATGTTTTGACTTCTGCTGTCTAATAAGGGTTGCATGTCACAAAACAACATGGAACCTATTTAATTCTTTTTAATTCAAAGTTTTAAAATGTAATTAATTTCAATTA